TCGAGTCATTAGAAATAACCAGTCGTAACACTTTGTAATGGCCGGTCATAAGGCAGCCATAATGTGCCAGTCATAATACTATGGGTCATTTCAATCATAATATTATGACCAGACGATCATATCACTATGACTACCTTACGGTCATAATACTATGACCAGCCATTTTGACTCATATTGTTATAATTTGACTCATAGATAATGACTCATACTGTTATGATTGACTGGTCATAGTATTATAACTGGACATATAACACTATGAGTTATAGTACTATGACTCCCAAGGTCAACTATGTCTTTTACGTGTTGGTCGTTACAATCAATTTACATATCAGTTATAAACCATCCAAAATCTCAAATTGACGAAGGATATTTTCAACTCCTATCACATTAAGTTCAACTCAATCATTTTTTTCAAGTTATATATACTAAGTCTCCTGAAAAATAAATTTAAAAAGATGAAAATAAAAGAAAAACAAAAAAAAAATTGTGCATTAACCTCGATCTGTGCACAACCAGAGTATTGGCGATGAGGGAATGAATGTGTAGGGAGAGAGAGACTGAGTAGAGAGAGGCCAAACTTGAGAGAGAGAGAGAGAGAGAGAGAGAGAGAGTTGAAAATGGGGTGTAGAGAGAGAGAGAATGGGCGGGAGAGAGTTGAGAGTTTCTTTGAGGTACTTTTAAATGATAATTTTGACCTAAGTGGCATAGAAGTTATTTTACCTCACACTGCTGACATGGCAATGTTAGTTGTGAAAGTATACAAAAGTGGTGCTAAAATTAATAATCATTTATTCATGAGTGCTATTATTGAAATTAACCCGGGTTAAATTACCAAAAAAAATTGAGGAAGCGTACCGAAATTCATAGTAGCAGAAATCAACACTTTAGCAAAATTACTACGACAATTGACGAACCAGTTATTGTCTTCCTTACTCAAATCACAAGAGTTTCTCAATAGGGTGTTTCTCTCTAGATGGGATCTAAGAGAAAGCGGCCGAATGATTTGACGTATTGAGGACCATAACCTATATGTCTTTATATACTTTCTCATTAGGCACCCATTAAACCTAATTGGGTAAGTATTCGGTATCCACTCATTTAGGACATACCCAGTTAGAAGTCATATTGAGCTTTTCCTAACTTGATCACTTAAGGCCCATTACAATTAAATAGCTTAATATAATTGTTATAATAATATGTAACCCACACCTTATATAGGACACGTGAGTTTCCTAACAATCTCACTTGGGTTACATATAATTCCTGAAACAATTATATCATATGTTCCTTAGACGCCATTATGTGTGCTATTATCCTTAGACTTCACTTTAGTTTCAATCTGGTACATCTCCTACATCCATATGAAATCACGGCGGCTTTCGTCAAGCATACCAACATATTCAATGACATACATCGAATATGGATGAGTGGCATGAAAATTACATGCAATGTGATTTCCAACATGTCTATTTCCAACTAGTCTTAATTTAGTCTTTAGCGAGATCAATCCGAAACTTTCTAAACCCAATGCAAAACCGCAATTAGAAAGCAAACAAATTTAGAGTTTAAATCATAATCCATCTTCTTTATTTCGTGAAAAAAAAAAAAACATAAAAATGTGTCTTAACCAAAAGAACATCCAAAATACAAACTCCATCTAAAACCACACATCGTCAAATAAGACAACACTTATATGAGCAGTATGCTCGTGAAAGGCCTTAGGTGATACACTATTGGTCTGTGGATCCACAATCATAGAGTTTGTCTTTGTCCTAATATATTCTATAGACACTTGAAAACTCTAAACTCTTTATTTAACAAGAATAACTTGAAGTTTATGTCTCAACTTTAAAGAAATTCTGTTTTTATTAGAATATAGCAAGCCCAAATTATTGTCATAAATATTTTTAGCGGCTTTTTAATAACATCTACCACACACAGAGCAGTGATAAAATAAAACTGAAATTTTACTTTATTTAATTAAATATTCAAATTTCTTTAATTAATTTACACTAAATTCTCTAATTGTATAGGCTTTAAAGCCCATTAGCCACAAGGGAAAATGCCACAGCCGCAGGTTATGACCTGCGGCCTTCACTTTGAGTCATGGGCCCAGTTGGGCCCTTGTTTCCTGAGTTCAGCCCACAGTTCTGGGCTGCACTTGAAAGCCAGACTATTATCCCGACCCAGACCTTCCATGCGGTCAAACAGCCGCCATGATTGGTCGCAGCTGTTCCACTCCGGCACGCCCCGACGGCCGTGACCGGAAGTGGTCGACTCCGGCGGCAGCAGGGACTGCCGTCGGCCAAATATTTAATTCCTATTTTTTTTACCAAACAACGGCCGTTTGGCTGTCATAGACCTGCTTCCTTCTCCGGCAAGGCCAGACGGCCGCCACCAATTGTTGCCGACGCCGGCCGCGGCAGAGGCTGCCGCCAGCCTTAGTTCTTTAGTTCCTCAAAAAATATGGCCGAAACTATATATAAATATATATGTATATATATAAACCAAGAATTTCGTTAAAGTTTAATCAAACCGGATATATATATACACTCATCCATAAACAATGGCCACAAAACCTAAAATTCAGGCTATACAATCAAAACAAATACATATAAACCAAGAATTTCGTCAAAGTTTAATCAAACCACAAAACCTAAAATTCAGGCTATACAATCAAAACAAATACATATAAACCAATATACTCATCCATAAACGATGGCCACAAAACCTAAAATTCAGGCTATACAATCAAAATAAATACATATATATTTATGTAGACTGAATTCGAAAACTAGATAAAACAAAATCCAGAAAAAATATGTCTCTTTAGCCGAAAAGAATCCACAATTTTCCCAAAAAATTTAGGGATTGTTCTTTTCTGACGAAATTTAGAAAAAAAATTAAACTCAAATTATAATTTTATTTAAATTCATGCTCTTTTATAAAATTTGAGTTTGAACTCGAGTTTGAGGCTAAACTCGAGTTCAAGTTTTTCATTTAACTCGAGTTCATAAAATCGATCTCAAATTAATGGATAACATTTTTTCTATTCTTATATACACATATATATCTGAAATTGGCGAAAAATCTCTCAATAATTTTACATGATAAATGTGCTAATACCACTTGTTAGTCTTTAATTATAAACATGAGTTTTAAACACCATATTCATAAATCCCAAGAACTATCATGTCAAATTACTAAGAAAAATTAAGGAAGCGTACCTGAATCCATAGTAGCATCAATCAACACTTTAGCAGAATTACTATAATAATTGGTGAACCGGTTATTGTCTTTCTTAGTTAAATCACTAAAATTCCTTAATAGGGTGTTTCTCTCTAGATGATATAGAAGAGAAAGCGGCCGAATAATTTGATGTATCGAGGATCATAAGCTATATGTTCTTATATAATTTCCCATTAGGCACCCATAAACCTAATTGGGTAAGTATTGATTATCCACTCATTTATCTCATACTCAATTGGAAATCTTTTTGGGCTTTTCTTAATTAGATCACTTAAGGCCCACTATAATTAAATAGCTTAATATTATTGTTATAATAATATGTGGTCCACACTTTATATAGGAAACGACCTAACAATATGATCATATAATACGGGGTAATTTTGACAAATACCATTTAAATTATACTATTAATAATTTTTAGGTCTCAATGTTAGCCTATTAAATTTTGTCCCTTTGGAGTAAGTAATTTGACATATTATTACCGATAATTTGATAGGTGTTGCCGACGGCGGGTCTTCGGTTGCTCGTGGTAAACGTAATTTAACAGATTATTGTCTAAAATTTGACAAATTTTTATCTATAATCTGATAGATTATTATGAAAGGGTTTAACACAGGGTAGAACTCATGTTTAAGGGTCCATTTTTTTTTTAAATTTTCTCTATAATACGAGTATTAAATGCAAAGAAAATAGATGTCCATGTTGACGATTGAATGTGATGGAGAGAAAAATACAGAAGAAATGCAAAACACCGGCCGTTTGATACTAATACGATGATGAATCAGACCTATGAGTCAATGGTATAAATGAAGAAGATAGGATTATTTCGGTCCCTCTATGGTTTCTTCTGTTCTTTCTCTTCCAACTTTTACAAAGTTTTAAGGCCCTATTTATGACATAAACCAATAGATAGTGGTAAACAAGACATCACCGTTTGAATAATACATGCTTTAAATGTTAAATGTGGTCATAGTTTATCTAATAGATTACAAATCTATCATTGGTGACAACTAATTGTCGTTGTTGGTTCCAACGAGATCGGCTAAATTATCAGTGATTCGTCGACTGTTCATGGCCAATGATTGGGGTCACTGTTGATTCCATGGCATTTGATAGATTACTAATAATAATCTAGTAGATGGCTCATATGTAATGGGGAGATGTAATTTCAACATACTTTTTCGTTTAAAAAAAGTGTTTGTCATTATTTTGTGCAGATTTATTATTTATGTTTATTCTAAATAATTAAGTGTCATTTTAAATTTTTATTTTTTATTAATTAAATAAAAATTATTTATTTTTTAATAGAGTAACATAAATAATATTTTTTATTATGTTAAGTGATATTTCTGATTTTTTCCATTTTGCTTTTCTTTCACCGAAACCCCTGAAATGAGGGATTCTTGTGGTGTTCCTAAAGCTTACTCAAAGCCACCAATAGTGGGAGATCCAAGATATTTGGGGCAGTTGAAGCCCATAAGGGATGGGCTGAGCGCCAATGCGCCATCAAGTCGTGTGTAAGAGTTGTGGGTTTTCAGTTTCTCACGTAAAACACTTCCACATCCTGTTGTTATTTGGTTCGCAGCCTCTACAGGCATGGGTAAGCCTCCATTATTGTTGGATTGCCGAACCCTGAAAACTCTTATATTAGTTTTCATCCAATATTTGTATGAGAAGAAATCGATCACAAAGTAGAAAACAATTAACTTATAAACAGAGCATTACAACTAAAATGAGAACTATTCCTTTGTTTTTTTTGTTTTTGGTAATGTACATTACATGATCCGACTAATTACAGATAACAATATATATTATAAACACCAACAAATTATATAATAAAAAAAAAAACCCTGATCTTATGAAATCACTCAATTATAACATATATCATATTTGGCGATCATTATTCATCAAGAACCAAGCTAGTCCTCCTCAGGTATGCTCTGAAGGACCGGCCTCCAGGACCGTTGATGCTCCAACTGAGGGCCAAGATCACGATTATCACGACCGTTGATCATCAGCTGGGAGAGGAATTGTTCCACAGACAAACCCTGCATCCCCACCAGCTTCTCCATCTCCTTTTTAGAAACCCTGATCTTCATCTCTCTAGCGCCTATTCCTCTGTTACCATGCTCACCACTAGAGAAATCAGACGACCAATCAAAACCTCTCATTTCACCTAGAAGCTTCAGCTTCTCCGTACCACCATCCGTGTCTTTAGCGTTGTCGTCAATCACAGAACCCCAGTCGTCACCGGCCCATACCGTCGCCGATTTATGCCTCAAACAGTTTCCCATTATAGTAGTTGTTGCCTTTTACGTCGTCAAACAAAGATGCAATATGATTCACAATTAGTGTTTTTTTTAATATATACATACATATATATATATATATCTATATATTGAAGAAGAACAAGAGACGGAGAGGTTTGCGTCGTTCATTGGATAAGGACGGGGCTTTACGTGTAAAGGAAACAATTATCAGATCAGAACGTGAAGGCCGTGTGTGGGACTCATGACCGACCCACGCTATCTTAGCTACGTTTGGTCGATGAAGTTATTGTGGTTCGTGGGACTCGCTAGCTCACGGCTTTGTCCCAAGGGAAATGCATAGAAGTGATATCACATTTATATATATTCCACTCTTAACGTGAGATATAAAATTGTAGCAAAAGGAACGTTACATGTTAAAGTTTTAAATTATTAAAGTGTTTTAGCAGAAAAAAAAATATTAAGTGATTTATATATGTATATATATATATGGCGATTTGTTATAGCATTTTTTTTTAAATGCGCTTTTGGTACTATATGTTTTTGGTATTATGGCAAACTACAGATTAAACATTGAAATTTTGCAAATAATTACCTTCTAAACTTATCATACAGTTGTAAATTGGCCTAAATTTATGACGCAGTTTAAATTATTAGTGATTGAAATACCCGTTCACGATTCACAAGTTTAGGGAGGAAAGTGCAAAACCCTCTTGTTATAATACGGTTCACATATATAGTCTTGAAACTAAACATGCCTTATTCATAATAACAATCAATGAGAAATTAATATCATAAAGTGTGTGTATATATATATATATTGTTTTCTTAAGTAATGACCTTAATGAGCTACATGGTTTTCTTGTAACAAACTGTACCTGTTGACACGAGAAAAATATGTGACTACAAACATGGCGTTGCCCACATTTTATTAATTTATTGGGCGTACGTGTGGAGTACTATACTGATCATCAAATGAAAATTAGTCAAACCAGAACAGAAGTAATTTTCTAATTACAAAAAGAAACTCCTAGTAAACTAGGGTTTAGGGAGTGTTAAATTAAATTAACGAACGGGCATTTTTTTTTTTTTTGGGACCAGAGAAAAAAGACACAAAGAAGTGTGAATAGGACTTTGCAAAACAGCATCTTTGACCTTCGCTCGCTTGTTTGTCCCTTTTTTTTTTTGTGTTGGGTTACTTATAATCTTAACCGACCTTCAAGTTCATGTGTTCGTGCTTCGTTTACCTTGGACAAAATTCAATTTAAAGCATCTAGATCCTGTTCATTGAACTTTGATTCTTGTTGTTGAAGTTGAATTTACTATTACAATCTCTCTGTTATTCGTTCAGAGAAAAGGTTTAAAAAAAATTGTAATGTGAATAGGACTTTGCAAAACAGCATCTTTGACCTTCGCTCGCTTGTTTGTCCCTTTTTTTTTTGTGTTGGGTTACTTATAATCTTAACCGACCTTCAAGTTCATGTGTTCGTGCTTCGTTTACCTTGGACAAAATTCAATTTAAAGCATCTAGATCCTGTTCATTGAACTTTGATTCTTGTTGTTGAAGTTGAATTTACTATTACAATCTCTCTGTTATTCGTTCAGAGAAAAGGTTTAAAAAAAATTGTAAGGAAGTATGAAGCCGACACATCTTTTTCAACATTGAATATTTTGAGGGGCGTCATAATTAGGACACCTAAATCCCAGACGTACAAGTTTTTTTATTTTTTATTTTTTATTTTTTATTTTTTTTATGCATAGGGTCAAACTCAGGACACGTGGCTCGTTCTAGCAGACATCTTCACGTACGTACACCTAGCAAGTTGTAATGCCGTGTCATCATTACCAATCAATCAAAGTTTGATCCTTCTTCGTGGGTACTTAATTTGGACACTCATTCCTTGTCTTAGGTGTAAATTCTGAAACGTGTTCAAAAATTACGTTAGCTTCATGATCATCCATAGATTTGAGGTTTCTTCTCAAGTTACATCATTCAGATAAATGTTTATATTCTCCAGAGAATATTGTTCTAACCAAAACCCACAGAATCATGATCATAACTAATAAATATGGTTGTTCCATATCATAGCCCATCGAAAATGAGATTTTCCACGTGTTTGGGACATAGAAAGATCCAATTTGGCGTGCCACGGACTTTTTATTGTGAAAAGGACATAGCTTAAGAGGCTATCCATTGCTAGCTTATCCATCTTTGTTGAGTTGTTCAAAAATTCCTCAAATCGCAAAAAACCGTTTAATTTAAATTAAATCAAATTAAATTGTTAATTATTTTTAAATTATTAGACGGTTTAATCAGTTTTTATCTAATTTTATTGGACATTTAGTTTGTGATTTTGACTCCTTAAACTGCACAATTATATGCCAAAAATATACACATGTAATTTCTAAAATTTTAAAATATTTTTTATATTTATTTTACTTTTTATTGGTATAATAAAGGTTCTACACTTATAAAATACATCCTATCATATTTTTCTTAGTTTTTGTTAAAACTTTGAATGGTGAACTATTAGATATTTACTATTTTTAAGTTATATCACTACAAGAAATATGGCTATTAACGACGACAAAAAGTCGTTGCAACAAATGCAAAGTTGTTGCAACAAATGCAAAGTCGTCACAAATGAAGTTTTAGCGACTATTTGTCGTCGCAAACTTGTTGTCGCAATTGATTCGTCACAAAAACAATTTTTGCGACGACAAGCAATCGTCGCAAATGAGTCGCTGCAATTATTTCGTCGGTTACATCCTTAAGATGACATGACATTGAGTTTTTACAACGATATTTTTTGAATTAAGTCGTCGTAAAAGATACAGATTTAGTTGACGTGGCTTATATTTTTTGCAACCACATTTGTCGTCGCAAATAATATTTTAATTATTTATTTATTTTTTATTATTTTACTAATTAATGTTGTATATTACTATATATTTAAACCCAATATTAAATATAATTCATGATATTATAATAATAAAAAAGAATTAAATAAAAGGAAGTAAATAATAAAAAATATAAATAAAAATTATTATTGTAAAAAGTAATTAATAAAATAAAATAAAAATATAATTATAGTAGAAATGTGTGGAAATACAAATTGTTACATTAATAAAAATCTAATATCCTAAATTAGCAGCATCACTAGAATCATCATCGTTATCATCAGAAAGATTCGGGGGCGGATGACCTGGATGGACATATGGCACATGAGGAGTCGCTGCTGGGAAAGTCATGTTAGGGTGCATTTGAGTTATGAAATCCTGCATCATTTTGATGTTGTCGTACAGCTGGATGTTTTGCTGGTAACTCTGTTGAAAGTATTCTTCTACGTGTGGGTTCAACGTGTCGTAGAAGATCTTGCCGAGCATGAGCCAGATGACGACGCATCCCCTCGATAAATTTTTGTGGGAGTGTGCCACCCACTCCAGTCTTGTGTCCTCTGCGGGTTCCTAGAAACTACTCCATAATATCCTCCTCATTAACTGTTCCTCCTGCGGATGATCCAGAAGTAGCAAACTACGTCTGGATCTACGTTTCTCTTTCTCCCTCCACCCGATGTTGTTGGCCCAAGGTTGAATATTCTCGTGTTTTGATGATAACAAACACAATGTATTATGTTACTAATGATTCTATTTTGAGTTGTGTATTTAGCATAATTGATATTATAAATCAACTCAAGAAGCATATTGTAGAGTACAATGCAAATACATTCAAGTTTGACAAATGCAAATTGAAGAAGGAATTTAAGGCCTGAAGTGTTGAAATATCAAAGATCAAGAGCAAGCAAACAAAATCAAGCAAGACAAGTACTAATAGGTTTTTATATCTCCTTAGTCTTGTATTTGATTTTGACTTCATACTATTAATTCTTGGTTAGACTCATGCACACACTCACATTATTCTTTTAAAAATGAGACTAAACTAAGTGCATAATGAAATTTGGCCTAAAAGTATAATTTTGTGAAGGTTTGAGGCAAAGTCAGTGTCAACCGGTCGACCTATGTCGTCCGGTGACAGAGAAGGCTAAATGCACCGGTCGACTGGTGTTACCTCAACCGGTCAACCACTCTGCTTAACAGTTATTTAATAAGACCGTTGAACATCGAGAATTCAAATTTGTCTCAACCGGGCAACCGCTCCGGTTGACCGAAACTAGGTAAACGGGCAAAAATAAGACCGTTGGAAAGTGAGGTTAAATAGAGACAAGTCATTTTTCTCTTCTGCGGATTTTCCTTGAGATGGAGAAATTATTCAGAGCTCTCAAATCTCTTAAAATTCAAAAAGGTTTCTCTAAAGTGCCAACATAATCATCATCTTCACAAAATCCTTACTTCACTCTCTCACACATACTTGAGCCTACCTTGGATTATATTTTGATAGTGTGATTTCATCATCTCCTAGTCATTTCAATTGTGTAAAACCATTGTTAGGAGTGTATGACTGAGTGATTCACTATTCATAATCACTACTTTGGTATTGGGTTTCTTGGTTGGTCAATCTCCGTAGAAAATTGACATTGTGTAAGAGGTTAGGCGAAGCCTCAGATAGAAAGATCTGCCATCTTGTAAAAGGAGTGATCGTGCCGAAAAGTCGATCGTATAGTGGAAGCGGTCAAGAGGTGGAATATCTCGGTGACAGTGGATGTAGGCAAATTTATTTGTCGAACAACTCTAAATCTCGTTTGTATCTCTCTTAACTCTATCTTTCTAATTTTTGCACTTTAAATTTGATAGTTGACATTGATTGATTTAACTCTTGGTGATAAGCTTATTGAACTCGTTATATGATATTAGATTGATTCATCTTGTGCATATCAAGTGTTTGTGCTATTGTATTAACTTACATAATTTTCTGTACACCAAATGTTTGATAAACACACTGTATTGAATTAATTGTCTATATTTAATTTTAATCTGAATAATTGTATAAACTCTCAAAAAATATTTAAAACCCAATTCACCCCCCTCTTGGGTAGCCTTACTAGGGACAACAATTGGTATCAAAGCAAGGTTGCTCAAACTTCTGTAAAAAGATTTTACAATCTTGAGCATGGCTACTCAAAACTTTCAAAACATGGAAGGTCAATCTGCACATAGACCTTCTCTTTTTAATGGGGTTGACTATAATTATTAGAAAGTGAGAATGAGAATTTATTTACAATCTATCGATTATGC